GCTATTTTTATTCATTTTTTTATCGCGGATAGTATAAAATGCGCTGTATACCTTGAAAATTTTGATTGCCTCTTTTGTGTTCAAACTGAGCGAAATGACACTGATTGCTACGCCGAATGAGAATGTTTCAGCATTTTTGCTTTTGTAGGAAGTAATTTCAGTTATCACGTGTTTACTTGTAGGTTCCCCCCCCCCCCAGATACGTCTTGCTAATATTATAAATGCGAATGCTTGGATTACGGATGGATGTTTGTTAAGTGGTATCTCCACAGCTGCATGGATTTTGCAGAAATTTGGCATAGATGCAGAACATAGTCTGAAAGAACACATAGGCTAGTAATTAAGATCGACGCTGGCAGAGTCGCAGGTGACAAGATTATTGGTTTTTACATCTGTATGTACATTAGCAATTACGCTATTAAACTAATAGGAAAAAATATTATTTAGTCAGTCGAAATAATTTATTTCATTACGTACGAAAAGTTTTCGAGTAAGATCGAAATCAGACGAAAGGGTAAGAACAAATGTCCTTGGATAAGTACGCCTAGCCTTGTAGAAACCTTTTAAGTCTTACCTTGAAGGAGCAATTGAATTCCAAACCCTCTACATACCCGAAACTTATGACACAAAAAAAAGAAAAAGGTTGTTCGAATGCAAATTTATTAGCAGTAAAACGGAAATGTTTTCTATGATTATTTTGTGTAATTTTTTCAGAATACAACCTCCTTGTCATTTTTGTTAAATATTAGCGGGTACAAATATTTTTAAACAATATTTTTAATTATAATAATAATGTATTTTTCTATATAATTATAGGCTATGTTACTCAGAGCTTATATAGTATTCTAGTAGCTAAACAATTTTTCAAACCGTTGCCATAGTTTTTGATTTAATTCGTTACAAACATACAAAAACTATTTTCATAAAACATATTATGTAAAAATACATAAATATAAATGCTCTATAAAGCAAAGACTAGGAAGATATAAATTACAGTGATATGGTTAATACCGGACGACGTCGCAAGCAAGTGGACCAAGTTGAGACCTTCACCCTACTTGAATATACGACACACGACATGCAAAACATTTATAATTTACTAGCTATCACGACTCTGTCCGTAAAGAATTAAAAAAAAACTTTTTTAGTGGCTTATATTTTCTTCCAGACTATGCTCTACATCTATGCATGATTCGCACAAATTTCGGCGAGATCTCTTTAATCCTAGAGATACGTTATAACAAACATAATCTAACTTTTAGCATTCATAATTTCAGTAAAATATCTTACTGGCAACTGCCTGCATTTAGTCTGCGTGGGATTAAAAAAAATCTATATAAATATAGCGTATGTCATCTTAGGATAGTGTAGTCTCACAACATTGAAAGAATTTATCCAATCGGTTCAGTAGTTTCGTAGCTTATTCAATGGAAACAATCAAATCATTTATCTTTATAATACTGCTATAGACTAGATGATCTGAAAGATTCCAGTAATTAAAATAATTAATCAACTTCATAGCTGTTATATTGATATTTTCAAAAAAAAATACTGAAATAAGAACACATCTGTAACTTGCCTCGAACAAACTGTAGTACATTCACAATGATATGTGACATAAAACATCCCTCAAACACAATGTAAGGGTTGCTTTGTTGAGGGAGAGGTCGGGAAATGTCAGAGGTTAACCTACAACGTTACAGTCTGGTAGTCTCGACATAAATGAAATGTAGCAATGTATCTTAATTGTGTACATAGAAGTGAAAAATATTATACGAATACAGGTGGCATAATTTCAGAGTTTTACTGTTTGTATTTGGGTCCGCAAACTTTAAAGTTTTTGAATAGAACTTCGATAGAAATTCCTCTTAAATTGTAGAAAATTAAAAAATAAAGTTTACCAAAAAGTTTACAAATAAACAAAAAGTACATGAGTTTCCTAACCACTAAATGGTATGTGGTTTTAATTATCTTTAAACCGCAAAAAGGACCAACATAAAAAAACAATGTAGCGTGGACCATGTACTAAACTATATTATATTTAAGTTATTTCTAGCGATCGTATTGAAGAAAAAGTTACGATTGTTTAACATGTTATCAAAATCTTAGAGAACATTTTTTTTTTTATAGAAAATTTAAATCTCATGAGCGTTCTATTTTTAAACAGGCCGGTATACAAACCAACGATTATACAAACGCTCACAAACTTTTCCTGACCAGCTTTTACGGAATGACTAAAAAAAAGTCGAAAACTTTTTTCTCACTTCGATTCAACGCTCCCTGGCAATTACTGGTATTAAAACTTGAAACATTCAGAGATTGCCAGATGAAAAATACATGCTAAAAATGTACAAGGATTTTTTCAAGTCCCCATCCTGGCGGTTATGAGAATATACCTCTCAAAACTTGACATGTACATGGCAGAAATTCACGCAGCATTTTGTAAAATTAGTAATGTCGTTCAGTACTGAGTTATGATGTTACGTTATATTTATCATCCTTTTCATAATGATTTTAATATTAAAATATTTTTTTTTACGCCAACGTATAACGTATAAAACGCGCGTCGGAACGAAATTGATACCAGCAATATTGGATTTGCGAATCGGATTTCATTTTCTAGCCCATTGGATTTGAGAATTTAGCGCAAATAGCGTGAAAATGTAGATTTAAACACATTTTGACATGAATCATGCTCATTCCCCATGATAAAACAGAGTTATCAAAATGTTTTTGTACAGGTTTTTGCAGTGGAAACACAAAGTTACAAATACATATGACTACAATAATTCCAATGTCGCGTAACGGAAAACATTAAGGTGATATACGAGACTCATATTGCACAGATTTATTACTTTATAATGAGGAAGTTTCTACTTTTTGTCGTATTTCTAACCGTGGAGTTGTAAGTATAGACAGTAGCTATAGATAGCGTAGATATTACAAATTCTATTATCATTGTTAAGTGTTTCCATTGCCAAAACACATGTTTAAAAACATAGTGTTATCCCTCACATTATCTTTACAACAAACAGAGATAAATGGCATTTGTTTTGTTTCGAAAATGCAAATGCACGGTTGGTCCATACGTACATTAAATACCTACGCTCTTGGATCGTAATTATATCATCATCAACCCTTGTTCCTACGGATGGTAAGCACAGTATGAAATACACTGTCATACATGTCTATCAGCCATCATAGCCTTTCACACAATCCATCCATGCTTTCATCAGGCTCCCTCTACCCTTGAAGCCCTCCACATTCAATATCATTTATTTTTTAATTAAATCTCCGCAAAATTTTTGCTCGACAGTTTCTTCAAATTCGTAATTATGTAATCGTCAACATAAATGCACAAGTAACAATCAATTATTTTAAGATCAATGGCGAGAAGTGTGAAGGTTGCAATGACGGTGACTATGTAACAATATGATGCAATGCAACACCCAGGGCTGCCAACACCGAAAAAACTATTATCTTACTAGCTATCGCCTACGACTCTGTACGCGCGCAATTAAAAAAACTTAATTAGTAACCTATGTGTTTTTGCAGACTATGTTCTACATCTACGCCAAATTTCATCGAGATCTGGTTAGCGGTTCTAGAGATACCTTCTAACAAACATCCATCCATTTAAACATTGGCATTTATAAAATTAGTAAGAAGATTGATACTGATAGGAATCAAATGAGAATGTTCTTGTGCTGTTTTTTAAAATTTTATATCTGACAACCCTAGTTAGAATAGAGCCTCTGATTCGGACATTGATGTCATCCTGCTATTGTTTGTATAGCCTTACAAGGTCATTTCAATGCATGTAGCAAATATGATTTTATTAAATGATGCAAAATCATGTCTTAGCTAATAACTAAATAAATAAATACTATGTTGCATATACTAAAACATCAATCAGTTATTTACACATATGCCTAGTGAAATTACAAAGTGACGAGTTCTTAATAACTATATGACATAAAAATTGCAATTTTGTTGATACTAGTAACTTGCTTAATGACCATGTACCTACAATGGCACTGAGCCATTTTCTATTTTTGAGTTAAAAGAAACTGAATTAGTAGTCTATGTGTTCTTACAGTCAATATTCTACATAATGCTGAATGTTACTGATATAACAAATATCAGTAACATTCAGCATTATGGACGTTGTAACAAACGTCCATCTATCCAAACATCTGCATTTATAATATTAGTAAGATGTACATATTACAGGTGACATGACCACTGACATTAACAAACCAGGCAGGAATACCGAAGCTGTATAAATACCTATAAATACCGGACACTTATGAATCCATACAAATGTAGTTAAGATAAACTAAGTACTTTTGTTTCAAGTCAAACATAAAATATGTCAGTTCAAAGATATATTTTACTAGGAATTGAACATTCTATTAAATAATCCAACATTCCTGTCTATTTCTTAACCATTTATTATGAAACATAAAATTGTATAAAACTACTTCAGCTTATAAATGGCTGATATGTTTTATGTACTGCCAAGGAAAATAGATGTATTGCTGGTTTCCAAGTCCAAAATTCAGGGATAAAATATTTTATCATTTCGACAAAGATAATGATAGGGATGGCATTATGTTTTATACAGGAATATTTGTCTTAGAAACCAACAATCAATCACATACATTATGTAAGCTAAATTATGAACCAACAATTTATGATAACACCAGTGACATTATAAAATATGTAACAAAAGTCTGAAATTGCTATGCATATAGCAAATTTGTGTAGTAGCAAGTGCGGCTATTTGTGTTTAATAGAGTCCTGGTCATACTATCTATACATTCTTAACACATTTTTAAGCTTTAAATGTTTTGAAATAATAAAAAAGAAATATTAAATTACAGATCTTGTTTGTCAAGTGACCTGGGTATATTTCATTGTTTACTTCTTCTATGTTTAGTATGAGGCAGAAATTATTTTAAATTGCTATTGTTTGATATAAAATAAAAGATACTTACCTTTTATTATCTCTGTGGAGGATATAATGACGTCATTTTCATCCATTCTCACTTTGTAACAGAGCAGGGCTGATGTTTTCTTTATTTTGAAGACTTTTGTAACTTCTTTATAAATATGGTAAACCTCTTTGTATCACTTGAAGTTTTGCATTATATTGATGTGTTAAATTCTTGTGTACTTAATTTGATATGTACCTGGAAATTAACACTAAGTTAATTACAAAATAAGTAAAGATTTTATTTTATTAAATATAACAGAGGAATTAAATAGGTAGATGGTTAAGCAAATTGGGTGGGAGGACACAGGTTTGTTGAAATACTTAAAACAACATATTTAGAAATAAGTGTGGGCAGTATTACCTAAATTGAAAACTTGTTGGAAAGCAGGCCTACTTAATCCTATTAGACAACTACTTTTTTCGTTCATTTCCTAATCAGTATGTTGACGAAATAATATAGAAAGTGTTTACGTAAAATTAGATATTGAAAGCAAAATCTATTAAAATAAAATAATGTGTATCATGTAAAGTAAATAATAAAATATATTGATTATCGTACCATCTGTTTGCCCATCCGCTTCAATGATTTCACACGAACAGGTAGCCTTGATAAGTAACAATCAAAACATATTCTGATAAGAAAAATATCGAATAGCACCACTTCCACGCTAAACTATGTACAAACATAACATAAACTTAATAAAAATATGCACACGGGGAAATTAAAGCAACGTAACGTAATTCATCCAGTTTTGTTCTCATCGTAATGCCTTTTTTTAGTCTCTCGGCGACAACGCAGTTTGTACCGAGGCGTAGGAGTCTTCTTAATAGACGGCGTGGGTCGACTCTACTCAAAAGTAAGGTCAAATCGTTTTGCACCGAATCCACGAAGCCTTCTGACCACTTTAACTGAGTATTATCACTATATTTCTGTTTGAAATCACCGAACACCGTACACCGCTAAACCATATTTTCACTATTCGTTGGCAATTCACTTAGAAACCTTAGAAAAGTAAAGCACCGGTCTAAATAACAAATCGCAACATTAATTGGCGAGGCGACACAAGGTCGCGGATTCTCGTTCAGCTTGAATGCAATTTATAAGCTCTCCATTTACAACGTGACGTATTTTATTTATTCGTCGGAGCCGCTACCCAAGAGCCGTTGAATCGAAAAGACAAACTCGTTTCGTTTTTCTTGTCTAGATGTCAGGTGCGCCGCGCTCCTGTCAAACTGGAGTTGCCATCACACAGCCACACTGCAACCTCAGCGTGGGCGATTATTGAGGACCTAATTGTCTATTCTATTTATAAAGGGAAGTTCGCCAAATATTAATTCAAATTGAAGCAAAAATCATTTTATTGATTATTTACGGACAAATAAATCCAAAAGTAAGAGCGATTATATTCGAGTTACTCAATTAGCACAGTGCATTTAATTTTTTTAATGATAAGGGGGCAAACTATCAGTGGCCCTTTTGAAGAAAAGAAGTTACGCCTTGATACATCCACAACACTGGATTAGAGGAACCTCTGATACGCTGTCAGCCGCTCAGAAGAGGTACGATCGTTTCTTGAAGGGCCCTAAGACGCTTCCTTACGATGCTAAACTTATTCAGATTATTCTTTTCATTTATATTATTTATTATATTATTTGAATAGTAAACTAACAAAGTATCTGATGAATAGTCCTAAATTTATCATTTATATAACGTCAAGCGCGTATTTTGTGATCTAACAATTACACTTAGATTTTTAAACTATTAAACTATATTTACTGCGCATAGGGTATAAGGAATTGGGAAATAAGTGGTTATGTTTTATGTTTTTCTTATTTTATTCATTAACAAAGTATATTTCCTTAAATCTAATTATTAAGTTGTTGATTCACCACTTTACATCTGTTTGTCGCTGCCATTACCGCACCAATTACAGCAGATCGGAAACCTGCAAACATGGAGGTGATTTCCATTAAAAATATAAGAAAAATAACGACACAGCGAGTTTATGTTAGGCGCAAAAGGAAATTAACTTAGGTTAACAAGTGAACAGCATTTTAGCTATGACGTTCCCAGTATTGACTGATCTACGTAGCAGTTCAATCGTTCTCGGTAATTATTTAAATTGACAAAACAAACCGTTTTGTTCAAGATGATATGTCCCTTCCGCGGTTGATCCCCCTGGACTTGTAACGTTATCCTTCATAGCAGCAGGATGTCCGCCAGTACGAAGCATAGCCGCCGCACCCAGTGTTGTCTGAGCCGCCAGCCTCAGTGCCAGATCCCGAGGCAACCCGCAACGTACACCACCGTCGGCTAGAGATTCTATTAGCATGTATACCTGGAACAAATTTTTGTTAACAACCTACCTTTTTGTTGTAAAGTTTTCATTTTTATTAAGGAACTTGTTTATTACAAGTTTTATAAGAGAAAGTGATTTTTTTATCTCCTATTTAGCACCGATTAACAAAAAACCACTTACATAAGCTGGTCCGCTACCACTCAGCGCTGTGACAGCATCCATCTGGTACTCTGGCACTTCATCACAGGTGCCGACCGCGCGAAATAGCTTCGCGGTCAGTTGGGCATCGTCAACAGTTGCCCTGGAACCACGGCTCAGCGCCGCCGCGCCTTCCTTGACTAGCGCCGGAGTGTTTGGCATTACTCGGATTACACGGGCTTCTGATGGCAATGTCTGAAATACATATTACAGCTTTTATTGTTATTCTATTGATTTGATTTTTTTTAAGGTAACAGAGTTTATTATGAATTAAGTAAAAAATTATCCTGTTAAGGAGGCTAATTTAATAGGTCACATTTGACACTTCTTCATAGTCCAATAGCAATAACTTAACCATGTAACGGAGGCCCTAAAACATTGTTTTTTAATTCCTATTACATATTTATTTATTACAATTATGTCTAATATCAACATGTATTTTTCATAGCATTTGAATACTATTACACTTCTTTGAGTTGTTTGTTTCAATCGATGTTTTATACAGCTCCCTCACTATGAAGCTAAAATTGGTGTAGGTGTCAAATATAGCCTTTTAAATTCTCTCACTTTAATTTTTCACTACTTATGGCAACACTTTAATTTTAAGTTGTGACCAGTAATGTCAGGCTACGTTTTAAAGTTTTTTCCACCATTACAAATTAAAATAAAATGAAAGTGTACTGAATAACGAAGATAAACCTTTTCAATTGTAGTTGTTGAGACGCCCATGGCTACGGATATGAAAAGTTTGTTTTTCGAAGCTGGTAAATCTTTTATTTCCCGAAGCGCGGGTACCACGACGTCAGGTTTCACAGAAACTATCACGACTTCTGACCGCTCCACGACAGGTTTGTTTTCAAAGAAAGCTGTAGCTCCTAAACCCTAGAATTGAAATAATGTTTTTTTAGAATCATTTTACCTTGATAAAGCTAATTTAGTTTGAAAATGTTTTGTAGCAAGTTGACTGAATTATACAAGATAGTTAGTTCTGTTAAATTTCTTTGGCAATACAATAAATCTTATTATTCCAAGTATGCGATGATTTTTTCGTAGTTAATTAGTTTGAAATACGAAAATTAAAAATATGTTTTTTTTTACCTTAAATGCATCAGCACTGGTCGTGTCTGAAGGATGACAACTGGCTGTGATTTCATCTGGTTTCGCCAAACCTGGAATAGAAGTAAGTAAAGAAATTTATTATTTTGACACAACGTAATAGGTACAAATTGGCACGATGGGCAGAGGAGTCGTCTTGTTCCTCACGTGATAAATGAATTACCGCGTAGTATTAAGTTATAAATTCTCATCGTAGTTAATTTCTGCATACAATGAGTTCGTTACCTGCAGATATGAATCCATTTGCCAACGCGAACGCTAATCTGCCACCTCCGATAAATCCGATCTTCATTGCTTCGCTTAATGTTACTGTAAATAAGAAAAAACATTAAACAATAGTATCAAGAGATTGCATTAAAACTCAGATTATTTTATAATTTCAATACGTATGCCCTATTTTGCTCCTTTAAGTTTTTCCACTGCCCAAATATTTGTATAAATATTTTTTAAAGAAAGGGATCAAACCATGTTTTATACAGGAAATCTATAAATAGAATGATGTCATTGATAGAAAATCGTACCTCAAAGCATTTTATTTAGCGCGTTTATCAAGAAATATTAGATCGTAAATGTCTTCGCTTGAGTGCTTTTCAATATACAATAATAAAACAATATAATCTGCGTTAACTATTTCTTTGTAGTGTAATTTTTAATGACGAAAGATTTAATTTAATTGGGTAAGTACATAATACCTCTGTGGTTAACGTATGCGAAAACAAACAAATCATAAAGTGTATTAATAGCATAGATAATGAAGATGAAAAGGTTTACAGTAATAACATATTCAAGTGTAGCCAAGTACGTGTTTAATATTTATGAATAACAAGCTGTCGCCCGCGACTCCGTCTGCGCGGAAATGAAATGAAACTTAATTAGTAGTCTATATTCTTTCAGACTATGTTCGACATCTATGTCAAATTTCAGTGGTATCCATGTAGCTGTTCCGGAGATACCTTCAAACATTCATCCATCCAAACATTCGCATTTATAATATTAGTAAGATTAAAAATTTTAAGCATTTCGAATAATAAAGTGAACGTGTCTGTTCTTAGGTAATGCTCGTCTAAAAATAAATCAAAAATGACACTCACGTAAGAAAGATCAAATTAGCAGCTCACGCTGTTCCACTTTGAAGAGTGAATAACGACTGACGGGGTCGTATGTTATCAGTGATATTGTTATCTAACTCTGCTTGTAACAATTATATCTTGAACGTCATCCTAAGATCAATATTTTTATATACAAAACGACCCTCTGAGGTCATCGTGAACCGACACTTCGAAGCATTCTTTTTTTTTCTTAGTTGTAATTAGTGAAAATTCGCAAAGAGTAACAAGTATAGATCGGTGGTTAAAGCGTAGAGAACAAAGATACAATCACGTTCTTTAATTTTTATTGATTAAAAAAAACACAAACGTCAAATACTCAATAACAACCAACTCGAATTTATGATGAAACTGTTTAGAATACCTAAACCTATATTAATTTAAAATAATAACCTAAATTAATAACCTTAATTATTTAAATCAAAAAGCCCGATGTAATAAATGAAATAGAACTATCTCTTGTTTGCGTTTTAAAAGAAAGATTTAAAAAGTAATTATTACTGTCATATCTTTAAAACAAATATGTATATATTAAGGTACTTGAAAAGTGTGTTCAATTTTACAGGAAAGAAGCTCTTGCGGCTGTAACTGTTATGACAAATTTAAAGTAACTAAATAGTTAAGCTTAGTACTGTTACCCAAACAGCGACATCTGACTGATGGTGTATCTGGTTTTGTTTTGAAATAAAGCAAAAAAATAGTATATCAACGCCTACAAAATTTAAACGGCAAAAGAACTAACATGTATCATTTTAAATTAGCTTCAGTTTGCTCATAGAAAATAAAAGAGAAATGTACTTTCGTTAAAACATCAAAGTTAAAATAAATACATGATCTCAGTATAACACTATTTTGCTTTAAACTTTCCCAAATTCCAAAGTTGGCTACAATAATCGGTCTTTTAAAGGAAGCATCTAGTAGAATGTTTTTGACTAGATCATCAAACTTTGATACGTCAAAATAATCCTGTTTGTTTATATATTATGTAAATAAATTATTATTTGTCTCGTCAATTGCAATATTTACTGCCTGTAATTGCAACTCGTGCCGCTGGCAGCTTCATTGCTGTCAGCCTTGTGGACAATTTGCTTCGTAATGAATGTTAATAAATGGAGCTTATTTGTTGAACGCATTTTAGTATTCGTTTGTTTCAATTGTGTAGTACAAACTCGAAAATCGATCCATAAATACGACGATAGATAATTTTATAGGTAGTTTGTATAAATAAAAAATGCATCTTTTTATTTTTTGCGATTGTTATTCCGATCCTCAAATCGTGTGGGATAAAAGGGTTAGATATGTTTATAAGATAAATTGATAGGAAATTGTGAATTTAACGAATTATTTGCAATTTGCGCGCCTAACTGCTTTAAGCTTCGAACTCCTACAATTACGTACGAATCTTATTAAAATTAAAAAAAAACAATAAGCAACACAATCCAAGCCGTGACTGTATATTTGTTAGCCATTTATGTTATATACAATCTTACTAATATTATAAATGCGAATGTGTACATGGATGGATGGATGTTCGTTTGTTTAAAGTTATCTCCGAAACGGCTGCATGGCTCTCTCTGAAATTTAGCATGGATATAGAACATAGTCTGGAAGAACACAAAGGCTACTTGTTATGTTTGTTTTATATTAGTCGCGGATGTAGTCACGGGCGACAGCTTCTAATAGATAAAACAACAAACGAGTATTGATAAAAGCAATAAATAAATAATCTGTTGAATACATAGTGAATATTTATTTAAATAAATGCATAATACAATTTGTAAACAACTTCATAGAGACATAAGACCAAGGTCCGTACCTTCTAGACCACTTAAGTGAACTTAGATTATGATTATATTGTATAGCATCCCGTTCTTCTTAACAATCTATGCAATGAATAAAATTAGAGATTTCCGTATGTAATATCAAAATATAAATTCATATTGAACGAGAATATGTCATTCGCGTAGCTTATAATCAAAATCCAATTTTTAAAACGTTCGTCTAAGCATAAATCGCGTTTGTTCCGTGTAATCGAAACGGCTCAAACTATTTTATGTGGGACTACTTTTTTAATTCTCCCCTGACAAAGTCGCGACCGACTTCTAGTATTAAAATTTAAAAAATAACTTTAATATTTTTCCCCTATGGGTCAGGTTTCCAAACTAGGCCCCAGCCCCACAGATCAATTACAAAAGAAGACAAATATATTTTTCAAATTACAATAACAAAAAAAAGTTGTGAATTAAATGATTTAGGGTTAAGTAAAAAATAAAGTCAGTACTAAGTAAACAACGATAATATATATAGTATGTATTATGTATATTATGATAAAATTGGAATATAAAAACTAAGGGCAATATTTTTTTCCTACGAAATAATAATAATATTTTATATATGAAATGTAATATATTAACAACAAGGTTAATAAATGAATAAGAATTTAATAATAATAATAAATCTTTGTACATTTAACAAATCTGGTTCATTATAATCTTGGCTCCTATACTACGTTTCCCTGTATTAAAGGAGCCAATGACTTCCTATAAGTTACATTGCGCATGTACTTTTATAAGTTGAGTAATAATTTTATAATCTAAAGAAACCAAACAATAGTAACTAGAAATTATAAAAAAAAGCCAAATTAGTTAAAAATTAATAAATGTTTAAGTGTGCCAATGTGTGTGTCTGTGTGTGTATGTGTGTGTGTGTGTGTGTGTGTTCGTGTAAAAATAATCAAGTTAGTTACTTAGCTGTATTTTGTTTAATCATTTTTTAAACATTTGCAAATGATAAGTGATAACGACGTAAATAGCACTTTTAAACTTTGACCAAACAAATGTACACAAAGTTAAATAAATATGTACGACGTATACAACGTACAAATATAGCAATATAAATAAAAAACACCACTTGTTTACATAGTAACTGCTTTCACATTAGTTTCATTAGGTAAAATCAAACTTTTATAACAAACTAGAAGTTGCCTGCGACTCCGGCCGGGCGCTATTAAAAAAACTTAAAAAGTAGCCTATGTGTTCTTCCAGACTCTGTTGTACATCTTTGCCAAATTTCATCAAGATCCATTGAATCGTTCTTGAAATATCGTCAGACAAACATCCATCTATTCATCTGAACTTCCGCATTTTTAATATTAGTAAGAAGTAAGATGTGACGGGAAAATATTATGGACACGTCTGATGCAATTTAGAGCCGAGCATAGTTTCAAGTCGGCTTATTGATTATTGACAATCATAATTTGTGATTTCACTGATTATAATGACCCTAGTTTGCAGTCGGTACCGACTGTTTGAAGTGGTTCGTGTATGGGGATATTTAGTTACACTGAAGCTTTACTGTACTTTTACATCAACGCAAAAAAGACATAGTTTTTTTTTTTCTATTTGATATAGATACGTTGTAAATAACATTGGTAACTTGACTTTGATTATTACGAAATTTACATTATTTTTTCTATTCAAGTGTTGGTTTTAAAAAGATAACAGATAGATAGATAAAACAAGTTTAACTTTGTAGTTAAACTCAATTTAATTACTTTTATATGATGTTTATTCATTAAATTATTTACATGCAGTATATCTGAGTGCTATATTTCAAATATTTAATACTCATATTCTAAACTGAATTTTAAATAATGAATGTCTTAAACCCTTAGTAGCCTAGATTTTCAATTTTGATACCAATTTTTAAACCGAATGTACACATTAGTTTTAGTTTTTTTTTTATAGGTTGGCTGTACCTATTTTACCGTTGTATAATATAATATTCTTTCCAACTGAATTTAAAAAAAAAAAAATCATTATTGTTTTATTTCATCAAGCAAACACGGTAATATTAAAAACAAATCACTTTCGTATGTAAATCAGGCTACTAAGGGTTAAATATTTTGTAAATGTATAACTTTTTTACTCACGTTTAATCATATTGATTTTGGTTAATACGACATAAACACATGCGACTTAAAACAATCACAAGTCACAATTAAAAAAAAAAAATATAAATATTTATAATACAAATCAGCTGTACATTTCCACAGTATCCAGTGTCCTGTTATCAACTGAACTGTGTTCACGTCGACTGTACACCACAGTGGACGTTGTGATCGGTACAGTCAGAGGAAAAAGCCAATGACGTATCATGTCGGTTGTGACAAACTTTGTTAAACTTAGGCTGAAAAACCTTAAAATATTACATCATGCGTTAGACGTAACCCTTAAAATCTTTATCGCTAACATAAAATAATGGTTGATTGTCATTTATCTTTGGATCCCCAAAGTCCCAGAGATGTCCAAAGTTTGACTATTTTACTGGCACGATGACAATTAAATTTTCTTCATTAGTTTTTTGTCTATACCTTACGTTCTCGTCCCAATGTTAGCGGTATTCGGCCTTTTGCTTTTGCCATATTGTAATAAAAAAAAAATCGATTGAAAATAATCTTTCGATCCTGATTGTACAGATAATGTTTTATTTGTCTATAGCGTGTGTTATCATTCCAGCACGTGGGTCGGACTCGGACCCGATGTTTGAACATTCCTAATGGCCAGTGTCATTTATGTTATCAATTAAACTTCGTACTTCGTACGCGCTCGTACTGTTCCATCTTGATTCTCACGCGGTAATATTTATTACTAAGAAAACAAAAGAAGACATGAAGAAATTATAAAAAAAACGATACATATGGATAAAGTTGTGCGATATTTTAAAAATTAGATAGCCATAGGAATGTTTTTGTAGTAAGACAATTTACTATTCAAAAGTACTAAAAAGTATTTCGGAATAAGTCCTGTTTAGAATATTAAAAGCATCAAAAGTAATTTTGCCCAATTCAGATGCCGGCCTAAATAAGCGGAAATAAAAAAAAACTGTTGTAAAATAATGCAACGATGTAAGCTTAGTATTGTAAGATACAATGTCCTTGTATTTTCCTTCCTTAACCACATTGCATAACATCGTAAGGTCCATGAATGACTAAAAGTTTTTCCAATGTGCAATATGTAATTTGCAAAGTATATAATAAATAAATTATGTAATAAATGTTGTTGGATACAATACAATAACATTTAACTTAACAAAAAATTTTGTTTCAAAAATATTGCCAAGTCCTCGGTAGTATAGTGGTAAGTATCCCCGCCTGTCACGCGGGAGACCGGGGTTCGATTCCCCGCCGGGGAGGCTTTTTGTTGGAATGAGATCATTTATTTACGTACTAGCCTTTTTAAATATTTAAAGAATGCCCATGAATTGTGATAACTAGTTTGTCAACATAGATTTGGCCATTTTATTTTTGCCATCCCTTGCTTTCCCCCCACCAAGATAAAGAATTGAGTAAACTAGCTCCACCTATATTCCAAAAGAATAACACAAAATGAAACCTCGTGTTGCCCACATTGTTAAGAATTTCGTTTCGGTCTTTCATAATACACAAGACAGAAGTTAACAAATAAATTTTAAAACGTTCGTCGTAAAGCGGCGAGTTTTGTATAGTTTGTTTTTCAAAAAGGAAACCTAGTTTAATTATTTTACAAAATACTCTTATGCAACTGTGTGCATACATTTTATAAAACAATTCCGTTGGCGAGAATAGACTACCATCTTTTCATTTCCTTAAAAATACTTCACTGAATTAAATAAAATAATTTCTACCGTTAGAAAAATGTATGAGTGGTATATTTTAGAGAAAAATTGTACTTGGTAGTTTATAAGCTACGTTGTGGCAACACTGATTACAACGTGCTTTTTCTTTTTTTCTCATTCGCGCTCGATGCGTTGTCGGTGGCGATGTGATAAGTTGTGTCGGATGCTTGTCTATGGGAGTGATCGCTTACGGTTTTCGGGTATCCTTTAGTGGTTAAATATTTTATATCCAGTGAATTACAGAAAACCATTTAAATTATCGAATGACAGTGAATAAAGTTGTCTCTTAAATATGGCGTTGGAGGGTGTGAAAAGTGAAAAAAGTGAGGAAAACAACGCTAACGGGCCGGACGGCAAGGCGAATGGGATTGAAAACAAGAGTAAACAGGTACTGATTGCCATCAAAATTTTGCACAGAATACAATTAAACGTTCATTTTACTTTTAAAAATTTTCTCTAAACGTTCCATGTTCAAAATCTCCACTTATTTATAATTTTGAATATCTTCAACGTTTGTCGCAAATTCCCGCTATAATTTCGCGTAGTAGTTGTGCTGATAGGTGTGTTTTCATTTACACACATCCACACTGGGAAACTTGGACAAGGTGTCATTGTACAAGATGACCTATTTCAGTTGCCGCGCGTGTAAGGATTAAGCTTTTTAGAATGAATATTTACGTTTTATAGGTCGAGTATTTTGTCGTTTTTATGACTAACGATAAAATTGTACGTCTTTGTATGTGAAAATTGCATGGGATGTTTATACTAACCTTTATTCATCATAATGTTTTGATTAAATTATATTCAAACCTTAGTAGATAGTACTCTTACTGCTTAATACATAATAGCTATTAAAATAGCCTATTTTCACATGATTAACACATAATTTTCTGAACCCAAAGTTCTGCATGACATGTATTTAATGTAAAAACTTGAAAAATAGACTCCTTTTATTACGAATAATATAAATAATTTTATTTTAAATAAGTAAAAATAAAAACAACAAAATGATTGTATTTCATAATAGATAAAACTCTAGTAATATTTTGCATACAAGTGCTAAAAGGCTTTTTTAATTGGCCTCATCTTATAAAACTTAATCAACATTTATAACAATTTAATTTTGGCATTGAACAATATTATTTTAATCTTTAATGAAGTCAGTGTCATACTTCTTAGCTATAAAATCTTGTTAGAAATTTTGTTTTATTTATGTGTATATATATACTCATGTTCTTCATTGCAATATTTAAAAGAACTAGTTGATAGCATTCTCTATATATTTTAGTCAATAAAATCATTTGATAATAAAGACTAGGAAAGGTTTTTTTTAACTCTACACCGATGTGTTTGCTGGAGTTTGCATGTTATGAAGTTATTAAAAGTTATTAAAACATATGTATTAAATCTACTCTACTTACAGTACTACAGCAATGCAATAAATGTTATAATAATTGTAAATGCAATTATTGTCTGTTATGCATAACTGCATCTTTGAATCTTTCTATCCTTTTCTAATCAGGAAAGATGAACAGAAAGGGAGAGATGGCAAGAGGAAATATCTATTAAATATCTAATAGCTCTATATTTTTTCTCTATCCACTTTAATGTGTTTAAATGTAATTTTCAAGTCACTGATGCATATTGGTCTGTAGTATATTCATTTGTTTAAAAAAAAAATGGTCGTCGCAACACCGCGGTAGCGCGCATGTGCGCTTATCCAATGATAAAGATAAGATAAATTATTTAAATATACAATGTTGGTGCTACTATCAAAATAAAAAAAATGTTGAAGTGTTAAACCGTGCGTTTCCACTGACGAAATACTAAATGTATTGTTAGCTTATTGTCTCAGAGAAATAAAGTTGCAGATTTTTGTACAGTTGTTTCGATAGAAACTTTTGTTAATGTGCGTTAAATATTAAATACGCGAAGTATCGTACTGTAGTGTTTCGTCATTATTTTGGTATATCTTTTATATCGTAAAAGTGTAAATTATATCTAGTATGTACTGAATATTGCAGTATTATTACGTAATTTGGCAGCTAAAATGTAGTCTTATTAAGCAGATATGTGTAGAATTTTAAAGCATTATTTTGGGGACTGCAATCATTTAAAATTTTGCAAAGGAAGTTGAAATATCTTTATATATATAATTCTTCTGTGAGTGTGTATGTCACTGAACTTCTCTCAAACGACTGGACCGATTTTGATTAAATTTTTTGTGTGTGTTCAAGGGGATCTGGGAATGGTTTAGATTCACAATTTTCATCAAATATTAACTTCATATTAATTTATTCGAATTAAAGACGTGTAGACAGGACAACGTCTGTCGGGTCCGCTAGTCTATATATATATGAATATAACTATGAATTAAAATTGTTTAGTAATTAAATTTTATTTAATTTAAGTTACGGCTCCAACAAATATGTTGATTTACGCGGAACATAAACCAAGACCTATGTAGCTATAGTAGCTATGTGTATTAAACAGCATTGAACATGGTCAAGGTTCTTGCTTATTAGAGCTTTTTTTATTTAATTAAACAAAGTAATTCGCGTACACACAGGCGCGGTCCACTTTGCGGTTTATTACGTGGAAAATCATTATGTTAGCCATTAGTGTTAGGGTTACAATCTTGTTTAAGATATAAAACTCGTGTTTTATTATTGTTCAAGTAAGTGTTTTTTTGGAACTAACGAAATATGTTTTGAACTAGAAGCGATGTCGCTAATCGAACCTCAATTTGTCCACATGTTCATTCCATAAACATTAAACGTATACACATATCTATAGACGGGACGTTGATAAAGACACAATATGTAAGTTTTCTTTGAATAGTTTGATACTTGTGATTGACGATTGATCTGTCAAAATCTATGAGATGACGATTGAAATAGTTATCGTGGGTTTTTGAGAACAATATCTCAGTTTCAAACAAGTTGTTATCTTCTTTTTTGTTAAGGGTAATGACAGAGGGATAAAGATATATTTTATACAAAGATTTCAGTCTCGAAAACCCACGGTTAGAGCGGGTAATATATCTCTAGCTAGTTTTATGCTTGAAACTGTTCTGTCTTCATTTATAATACGTAATCAATAAAGCTCAGAGATCCGGAGGCGGCGCTTGACCTCAAAGCGAGTGACGTAACGTGTTCTCCGAAACTGACATCATTTTGTCCGGAGCTTCTTTATATAAAAACAACGACGTTATAATATAAAACAACTATTGTAAGCTTGAAATTAAATGTTTTTCTCCTATCTCGCTTCATTTAGATAACAGTTTGATAAACCGTTCAAAACTTTGAGTTAACACGCACGGATGCATTATTGCAGTATTTCCCAAAGTGGGCGATAACGCCCCCTTGTGGGCGCTGCAGATCTTAAGTTGCGGGTTATAGTAAAAGTTTCGTTTAGAATTCTCCGTTAATATACATATATAGGTTACAATAATTAATTAATTTAATTTGAAGTTATAGTGCTTTTAAATATGTGAAAATATGGGGGCGCTAAAAAAATATTTATTCTCCAAGTGGGCAGTAGAAAAAATAAGTTTGGGGACCACTGCTTTATTGCATAACTAGCAGTCGCCCGCGACTCCTTTTACGTGTAATTAAAAAAATACACAAATTAGTAACCTATTTATTCTTCCAGACTATGTTCTATATCTAGCCTAATTTGATCGAGATCCGTTCAACCGTGGTGATACTTTTAAACATCCATCCATCTAAACATTCGCATTTATAATATTAGTAAGAACATGTAGTTGTAATTTATGAAAATTACACACAAATATGTTCAGTACATTCTAATTAATAATACGCAATTGCATGACAAATTAAATGAACGAGACTACATTTTGTTACAGCTCTCTTCGACCATGTTGAATGATATTTCCTTTTGATTATGTAGTCAATAATTTGTTCAATGCAAGGACGTTAGTTGACGCGTGTTTTGAATGCCAATTGACTTATTGAAGACGGTAACGGACTTGTTACAACAAAATGCAAGCTGATCAATTGTCCGTTTGTTGATCATTTGATATGTGTATGTATCATTTGTATGATTTGTTGATTTAACATTGTGATACTATGATGATTGTTAATCTCTGTTTATTGATGTTCGGTTAATCACAATAAAGTGTTACACTTGTAAGGTGTATTAATTTGTACACTTGTAAGGTTCATTACAATTAGTAATTTTATCTATATCTACCGTTTACTCAAACACAAAGCTAGTTAGGGTTCCATACATGGAGTCCATTGCCCGCCATCGAGGGCGGCCTCCCCCCCGTGAGGGAGCTCGGCAGCTGACGCTGACGGGATCGAAAGCGAAAGCGTGCCCGTGGTCTCGTCCCGATGCTTTGGAGGAACAGAGAGGTTTAGTGGGTATGCCTGCGTTATGGAGGAGAATACATTACTACCGCGTCCCCCCGGGGCGCGGAGTATGCATAAAGGATTCCTCTCTGGAAAAAAAAGGGTTTCGTACCTAAAAAACACAAATTAGTAACCTATGTGTTATTCCGGACTATGTTCTATATTTGAAAGGAAAAAATGTAACCCTTATTTTCGTTGTCTTAATTCCGTTTGTCTGTCAAGACCTTTTTTTAAGGCAGAGTAAGATCTTAAAATAGACATAAAACTGACAATATTGTAGAAATAGGGAAATTGTCATTTTATTAACCGTTTGTTGCCAGAAAATAAAAAAAAACTTGTAATGACGTCAAATTTCTTGGTAACATTTAAACGAGCTTTGAATTTCTTGTGTCAGTATAACATCTCCGAATTACGTATTTGATTTTCAAATAAGAACTTATCCGTAATTGAATCTTTGGTATGCAAATACATGTATATTAAAACGATAAATTACAATAACTCGCACGATTAAAATGGAATCGATTTTAATTTTTAGTCGTGACCGTGCATTAATTGGTCGCTTTATCGACTTTCACCCTTCAATAGTCGATTATACACCCTGTTATTATATTATACCTTTTCATTAATCGTCACGTAGGGTTGAACAGGAAAGGTATGGAGCTGACAAATATTTTTATAATCCTCTATTTAATGGGGAGCTTACAAAACTATTGTGAGATGGCTAGGATGACAATTTTATTTTTATGCATATTCATATTTTTCAAGATTTGGACATAAACAGCTGACTAATAGAGCTAAAATACTTTTTTCTTAAAACCTACGTTAACTGTAATCGGCCAATAAACGAATGTGATTGTTAAGACGTAAGTAACTAATTTTATTTGCAGGTCTATTATTTGATAAAAAGGTCGTAGTATTCTAACATAAGCCAAGCTAAAAATAAATATGATTTAATGCAGAGCTATGCAACACTAACCTGTTTTAAACTGCGGTCACTGCCGCGGCCATGACG